ATAGATCTAGCAGAACCCATCTATAATGAAAATTTTAGGATATTTGCTTTTATCTCCATGGAGACATGTCTTACCAAACAAAAAAAAATAGCAACTTCTTCCAAATGTTAACTCCTTCAAGTCAATGTGATTTTATGAACAAATATAAAAGACTTACTTCGACAAGAATAAGTACTGAAATATTATCTGTTAGTGGTATTGTAAATAATGTAAAAGGTGCAATAACTTTATTTGATGTTCTCAGAAATACTACTTCACTTCGATGAGTAATTTCACATTTTTCATTTGATGCTGTAAGTTCTGATGAATGAAAATTTGGACATGATTGAGTCTATTTAATATAATCGATATTCAATTCTTTTTACAAATAATGATTTACTCGTTCTACTATTGACGAATATTGAAAACTATCAGTTGTAGTTCTTGATGAATTTGATAAGTTTTGATTATTATTATTTATTTTTCTTTGAAATTTATGATTCATTACATTTGATAAATTTGTTTGTGTTTCAAATTCTTTTCGTAATGATCGACTAGTATTGTTAAGTACTAGAAGAAAAATATCAGCATTATTTGGACGACTTTGATCAGCACTGAAAATAAGTAATTCATACTAATTATTTGATTTGATTTAGTTAAAATTAAATAATAAATTTTTTCTTTTCTGTTTTATAGATTAATTTTTCTTTACCTCAGATACATATGAAGAATTTTATCATTACATGTGATAATTATTATTTTTCGTGGAACTTTTAGCCAATTTTGTACATCATTACTAATAATTGTACAGACTTCACGACATTGTTCTCGAATTAATGAATTAATATGAAGATATTCACAACTCTAATTTGTTTTTTTTTTTCGAAGAAAAGAATGAATATAAGTTAAAAAATAATATACATCATACTTCGAACAGAATAGATTGATTAGTTGTTATATTGTTGAGAAAATATTGTAGTGAAGCAGATATTCGATTTATTAATTGATCAGCAACATTATAATGTCTATTATAAAAAATAAAGTTAATTTTCTACAGAAATATCGGGAAAAAAATGAGAATATTTTCATCGTTCAAATGATTAGTGGTGAATCTTAGATGTAAATGTATTATGGAAAAAAGGAAAATATGTAGCAGTTGATTTTTCCTTTTTCAAGAGATATAAATTGTTGCCAACATATGAGTTGAACAATTTGTTTTTGTAAGTCAAAAATTACTTTTTTTTTTTTTACTCAGATTTGTTTATATAACTAATGAGAAAATATTCATTGCAATCACGTCATGATCCTATTCGTCAAATAAAACTTCAAT